AGTTGTAATTGAATTCATTTATCAAAAACTAACAACTCCCTACAGCCAACCGATTGCTCCGCATGATGAAAGTGACTCTGATAACAAAAGAAGGGAATTATCTCACCGGTGGCCACTTGCATGTTGATTTTAGGATAAATGCTACATCAAGGAGTGAGTATGGATGTAGCCTACGAAAAACTTCCCCCATATGATTTACTTGTGCGTTATGTTCAATCAATTAAAATATAAGATCGTCAGTTTAGAAAAAGTGTTTTAATCTTCGTATGACTTAATTTTGTATTAAAAGAAAATGTGATTTGATTTTACATAACTTTTTTTTTATAATATGAATCACTTTTTCATCATCGAAATATGATTTGGTTTCCCATTAATAGATTTACATATGATTTAATCTTACACTAGTTTCATTATGTTAAAGAGTAGTTTAATATGTTATCGTTGGAGGTATTATATTTTTTCGCAGCATATGATTTGATGTTAAGTACAATCTATCGTTTAAGCAAACTGTAAAAATCCATTGGATACTAGTAATAATATTTTGCCATGATCTTGTATTTGAATTATAATTATTACTTCATATATACTGTTCTTGAGTTTATACAATACGTCACTATCTTTTTCATTTAATATCGATCAGTGTTAACGATAACGCTTATTTAATACACCAAATTATTTTTAATGTGACCGAAAATTAGCATGAACTAATTGTTAACTAACCATTTAATGATTCAAAATCAAAGTTCGGAACTTTAATCCTATTAAGTTTATACCATTTCGACAATTTGTATCATATAAATGATGTTTTGATTAAAACATTTCATTCAAAAATCTATATTTCCGAATACAGCTCCCTTCGAAAAAATATCCAAGGCTGATTTCTATTCATCTTTTTTGTTTCGTTATTTTTTTTTTCAATTTTTAAATTTCTTTCGTTCTTTCGTATATTTTTGTCAATTCTTTAAAAAAATACTATACACAGCCCTGATCTGTGTTTATATTTCAATAAATAATACGAAATGTGTCAGCGACGCTAATTTCGCATTTATTTAAATCTTCTCAACAAGCCACAATAATTTATAATTTTATCATGTTTTCAAACTCGACGTGGTCGATTGCTGAAAATCAAGAGAAAAGACTAGTGCAATGCTCCTGTGTGAGTGCATTGTATGCATGATGCTTGTCTTTTCCTTACTATTTCTTCTCATCTTATATATTGTCCTTATCTTTCTGTCTCTGCTTCATACATCATGTTGTACTTTGCTCCTATCTTATTGCTTTTACTTTCTCTCCGTATTATCCTTTCCTTTGATATTCTTTTCTTCTCTCTGATCGTTGAATATGTAAGCGTATGCTTTGTATGGAAACGATGCGATCCTTGATAAGAAGAAAAATAACAAAGCATAATTCCATCAGCGGTAGCTCTTCTTCTATCTAAAAACCGTCACAACTACCAGATGAAATCTTTCTTTTCTTTAAGAGAGAGCCAGGTTCATGTGTTTTTTTATTGATTTATACACACCGACATCAGAATTTTACCTTTCTTCCAATTGCTTTTATATGATTCCAAGAATGCGGAAAGAGAATAATAATTTTTGCTATAGATGAGAAGAATAAAATGCGCATAAGTATGCAAACAGGTCAAGAGACTTTCATTTTCTTGTGCAAACAGAGCAAGAACAAATATAAATCAAAGAACAGAAAGAAAATTAAAATAAAAGGCGATAGAGTAAAAAAATCCCAGTAAAACGATAGAAGATGATTGGCATGAAGCAAGTGTAATTTCTGGTAAAATCATTTACCTATTATTACGCTGTTATAGGATTCACTAATAAATTTTACTCTATCGTTCTTTGTTTTTGTGTATATTACGATTTGAGAAAATTGCAAATTCTCTATACTTTCAGAATATCCTATCGATCTACAGTTTTGTACGTGCCTTTTTGCTAGTGAAATATACCTTTTCACGGAACATGAAAAATGTAAGTTTTATATATTTGAAAAGCTGATATTTTTCTAAATTTAAAATGGATCACTGAAAAATAAAATGAATAAAGCGGTTCACACTGATGCAGAACAACCGAAAAACGAACGTGTTTGAGACGACTCCTATCAAGAACCGATGGAACAAGATGAAATGTTTTATCAATCGACACGGGATTACTCAATAGCTGCATCACAGTGAAATATGGGTTACTGACAACAAGAAAAAAACGGAGCAAATGACGTTTTGAGCAATCCGTTTTCCATTAAAAAATGTTGCACGTTGTTCAACCCCTTCTCCATAGGCAGCAGCTCAAATATGTTCTTTTTTCAGTTGGTTGTCATTGTTGTTAATGACTTTAATCATTTTAATTTTCAATGATCCATCTTAAATTCAGAAAAATATCAGCTTTTCAAATACATATAAAATTTACATTTTTCATGTTCCGTGAAAAGGTGCATTTCACTAGCAAAAAGGCACGTACAAAACTGTAGATCGATAGGATATTCTGAAAGTATAGAGAATTTGCAATTTTCTCAAATCGCAATATACACAAAAACAAAGAACGATAGAGTAAAATTTATTAGTGAATCCTATAACAACGTAATAATAGGTAAATGATTTTACCAGAAATTACACTTGCTTCATGTCAATCGTCATCTATCGTTTTACTGGGTTTTTTTTACTCTATCGCCTTTTATTTTAATTTTCTTTCTGTTCTTTGATTTATATTTGTTCTTACTCTGTTTGCACAAGAAAATGAAAGTCTCTTGACCTGTTTGCATACTTATGCGCATTTTATTCTTCTCATCTATAGCAAAAAATTATTATTCTTTTTCCGCATTCTTGAAATCATAGAAAAGGGATGTCAGCAAACTTAAAATTTGGTCGATGGCGGGTTAAACTCACATGTCTTCCTGAATCGATTACCACAGAGGAACTGTCTAAATCGTTACAGCTTCCTCCCTCACGAATTCACATTCCAAAAACTCAAGACAAAACAACTTATCATGCGTGGATTAATGGCTTTGCTGATGAACAAGATGCAAATGAATTCAGGCTTCAAAATTCACAATTAACCATTTCCAATTTACATATAAAATGCTGGGTAGTTGAGCCTAAAGACGACGATATGTATTTTCAACGTCAAACACGAAGATATTCCATGGATGCTCGACAAGAGAAAAAGCCTACTTTAACGAAAACTATCTCTAACCAAAACATAGAACACAAACTCTCACCGTATCACCATCAAAATACGCAGAATACGCACAAACTTCAGCAGTACAAGAACTCACAGAAACAATCAAGTAAGTGTTGTTCACAGCAAAAACGAAAATATAGAGAATACATCCTATTCCCCGATGTTGAACATTGCGAAATCAGTTCCGGGGCGGAACTGATTCCGTCCAATTCCCGGGAGCTCGATTATGATTCTACAGAACAGACCCCATCGATATTCATCGAATTCCTTCTGATTCCGGAATTTCTTCCAATTCCCACTAATTCCCTCTTCACTCAATTCCCGGAATTCCGCAACGGAATTGCTTGTCGCCCTCACCCACACTCATGGTGCTGTGGCTGATGATTTATCCTTATGATAAGTTAGTAATTCCGGTACGGAATTCCGGGAATTGAGTGGAGACGGAATTGCTGGGGAATTTCTTCCAATTCAGGAATTCGTGGAACTGGATTGATATCGAATAGGTCTCTTTTGCTGAATGATGACGGAGTTCCCGGAATTGGGTGGAACTGATTCCGAAGACGGAACCGATTCCGCAGTGTTCAACATCGCGGAATAGGATGACTGCTCAAAATATATAGATTGAAATGTGGCGCCATATTGGGCGTCAACAGAAAACGTAGCGATCTTTTCTTCTAGGTATATTTTGAAAAATTCCCAATAGAGTGTATTCCTAAAACTAAACAAATTTTCAAAAGTCAAAATTATGTCGATTGAAGCCCATACTTTCCGATTCATTGGTAGATATAGGTGACACTTTACTTTGAAACGTGATTAATAATGTATTTCGAAAAACTTTCACATCAGAGAATTTTGGAATGTACTTTTAGTTAGTTGCTACTTTTTAAAAATAACTTACCTGAGAACTCTACGTTACAAGTTACTGTTCTTTTACGAGGAAATTTCATTAACTGAATGAGAACGTTTGCAGCTAGTATTTTGCTAATAACTAGAGTTATATCAAGTCAAAAAAAATTAAAAAGGGATACCTTGCTATCTATAATATGTTTCTCTCGAATGTTGACTAAGAGAGACGCCGTGGAATATTGGTATGGCTAGGTGTGAAGTGTGGATGCAGCTGTCTTCTTCATTTGATACTCGCGTCCATATCTTTTACTGAAGTTCCTTAAAATAAAGTTTAATAAAATATGGCGTCGCACTCAAAACTTTAAGACATGACAAGAATACATATGATGATAGCGTGAGTTTATGTGTGAGTCATATTCCGTTCTATCATTTACACTGTACAGCTCTATAATGTTTCTTTTTTTTTTCAGTTAAGCATCATTTAAGTGAAGAAATTTATCTTTTTTGTTATATAGTAGTGTCAAGTGCTCGAGTTTCAACGCAGACTCCTGACGTTGAATATGACCGTCAACTCTGTTCTTATGCGAATAGAGGTCTGTGTCGCTACAAAGATGGTGAATGTAAATACCGTCATACAAGATGCCAAAATTATGATTCATGCTCACAGTCTAATTGCCTTCTTGCCCATGCAGTGCGATTGCCTTCCGTAAGTCAAAACAGAAACATTTCGTTTTTAGCAGAAGGCTCTATTCAATTTTGAATCATGTTTAGAAACAGTGTCTGAGCGGCAACCGATGTTACAAACCTGATTGCTCATTCGACCACCCAGACGGATGGAGTGCTTGTGAAGATGAAGTACAATGCACTAATTATGAGTGTGTTTCCAATCATCCACCTGGCCGCAAAGAAAAATGTCCTGTTGGTAATCGATGTAACGCGAATAATTGCAAATTTCTTCATCCAAACATGTATGTTGACGAATGTTCATGGGGTATAAAATGCCGAAAATGGGCTTGTACAAAAATTCATCCAGTCGATCGAACTCGACTTTGCCCGAATGAAGACCATTGTAACAATCATGCATGCAAGTACTTGCATCCCCGTGAACATGCTGAAACAAAAGAAGTAATTGAGTTAAGTGTTGCCCAGCAGAATTTTCTCGAATTTTTTGGCAATAAAATCTTGAATACAATTCGTAAAGAACAAGGTATTAATGATGTAAAAGTTAAAGATGGTAAACTTCAACTGTCAGGAAATAGCTCCACCATTACAAACATAAAATCTTATCTACAACAAACGCTTCATGAACAGAATGTGACAATCACAAATAACTTAAAGAAATATTTACAACTCTCAGCCAAAGGACGTTTAATGAAGAGATTTTTAGAAAAATATTCCATAGGAATTTCTTATTTTGAAACGTCAACAAACGCTTCTTTGACTGCCAACGATATGATTACAAAAAAAGACCTTGTTTATGTCCGTGGCGAAGATGAACGAGAACAGCAATACGATAGCGATCGCAATGTGAATCAGTCCGAAGACGAACAAGAAGAAGAAGAAGAAGATGATGATGATGATAGCAAGAGTGATATTTCGAATACATCATCAAATGTCACAACTCGTTCTGGTAATTTTAAGCGTCATCGTAATTTTGCTGAAAAATTTGTACAAGTAACACTATGTAATGACTCGGAAGATTTATTGTCTAAAGCCATAAAAGAATTACAAAGTTATAGTTTGTACACTCAATCATGGGCATTAACACAAGATGAAATTACATACATTTTAAAACAACCACAACAAGGTAAACCTTCACATAAGAATACTAAACTTCGTGATCAAAGTTTTCATATTAAATATTATCTCATTGGTCTCGTTCTATCCACCCCGAATTCTCTAGTACAGATCATTGTAGATTATAAAAATGGTATATGGCGTGTAAAATTAAGAGGATTCAAGGATCACGTAAACAATGCTGTATCCAGAATAAAAAACTCTTTGAACGATACTGTTGAAACTGAAGTACAACTTCCTATTTCAAAAACCATGGCAATTTTTCTCAGAATAAAAGCTTCATCTGATATAAAAAAGCTAGAAAAAACTCATTGTATCAAGATAAAAGTCATTTCGACATCTGGTCAAGAACATGTGAATGACGAAGAAAATGATGATAATAATTGTTTAAAACTTAGTGGTTCTAAATCACACATCGAGTCGGCACAAGTACAAGTCGAAAATTTTCTCGACAGCTTATCTGAACAAGAAAAACATTTTCCTTGTAATAGTTGGGATATTTCAAAGAATATTGCTCAGATTATTCGTACACGTCTGAAAAAGTTGCAAGATTCACATGATTGTGAAGCAATAGGATGGATGAAATTCTATACACCGACTGAAAAAAGAGACACCACACCAAAAGTTACTATATCAATAGTTGGTTTGAATGAAGAAGCAGTTGATGACGTTGCTGAACAATGCGAAGATATTGTGGAGGGATATGTTATCTGGAAACCGTCCGCAGATGAGTATCGTGCGATAGTTAATGCGTTACTAGTGAAAAAGAAACCATCTATCGATGAATTTCGACAACAGTGGGAAATTAATATACGATTAGATAAAGACACGAACACTATCATTATTCCTGCACGATCGAAAATCATCGCAAATGACATCAAAGAAGCTCTACTAGGTTTGAGAGAAGAGAGCAAACCTAGGGTGAATCGTATATCTGAATTCATTCCTATTCAACGAAATATTCGTCGTTTTGTTAATCAAACTATTGGTTCCTTGCTTGACGACGCAAAAATTCAAAAAATTTTTGTAGAATCTAAAAATTCTAATGGATTAACACTACATGGTCCTTCTGATATTGTCACGGAACTTAAACAAAAGATCAATAGTATTATCAATGAAATTAAAAAAAGTATTACTATACGCCATTTACAATTATCATCGACCGAGTCGGACTTGATGCGAGCAAATTCTTATAAACTAGCAAAGAGTATTGAACGGGAGACGAATACTCTTATTCGAGATGTTGCGGCAGATAAGACTGATTCCACATTAAAGACCAATGATAATGATACTAACTCGACTCTAACTGTTGTTGCAAACAGTCGTGGTCAAACCATTGTTGTAGAGAAAGGTGATATCACAAAGGCAAAACACGTCGATGCAATTGTGAATGCAGCAAATGGAACATTGTATCATGCTGGTGGTGTTGATAAAGTGATTGCTGATGCTGCTGGTCTTGCATTTGATGAAGAATGTAAACGATTAATTGCTAAGAATGGAGGTTTACCTATTCCTGCAGGTAAAGCAGTCAAGACAACAGCTGGCAATCTTCCTTTCAAATGTGTTATTCATGCGATTGGTCCTCAATACACAGATGGTGATCAACAAGAACGTCCATTATTATTCTCTAGTATCTTGTCAAGTTTGCGACTGGCTGAAGATGAAGGTTATACAAGTGTTGCTTTACCAGCCATTAGTTCTAAAACTTACGGTTTTCCACTGGCAGATTGTACAAATATTGTGGTTCGAGCAGTAAAGCAATTCTTTGCTGATTATCCACAATCAAATGTGAAAAAAACTATTCTATTAGACATAGATGATGCAGTTTGTAATTCATTTGCACGTGAAGTTGTTATCGATCATAGAAATGCACTTGTAGACGATGATGATATTATCAACTACAATCTGTCTCCATTGACGGCTAAATGGTGTTGGCAAGATGATAATGGCGAAAAGATCTATGATGAAAACCATACACGTCAAATCGAGACCATGTTTCAACGTTATTTGAAAACTTCCACCAAGTCGACACTAATAATTCTTGCTGACAATTTAAAAAGTGGCATAATTGTTAACTACAGTATCCATTTTCTTCCTAATTTGAAGCAATTGTTGACAAGCAACCCAAGTGCGCTAAATGATCGTCTTATTTGTGGACATCAAATGAGAATAAATACTGGCTATACACGCGATATCATTCGTTATCCAGTCGTACAAAAGATTAAGTCAACATGTGTTGCTTATTCTCCTAAACCATTGGATTTATACCGTTTGCAAATGGTAACAACTAATGAAGTTTGGGATATTATTGGCACCAGTGCAGCCATAATTCAAGCTGGAACAGCAATTACAAAAGCAATTGATTCATCCACTATTTCGGAACAATACTCCGTCAGCATGGATAAAGATATTACAGTTCATAAAGAACAAATAAAATCGATTGCAATTCAACAACAAGTTCAAGTTGATTTTCAACAACAATATTCAGGACACTTATCAATGATATTAAAAGGTTTAAAACCAAATGTACAAGAAGCAAAATTAAAAATTAGTTCATACGCTCTAGATATCTTGAAAATGCAAGTCGATAACAATCATATAATACGTATACCTAAAAAATGGGGTGATCAAACAGAAGGATGCAAATTAGTTGAAATTGTCCGAAATGACCCTGACTTTGCTCGTATTGAAAATCGTATGAAAGAAACTATGACAAGTATGAAAATCGTTAAAATAGAACGAGTACAAAATGTACGCATGTGGAGGCATTATGCTTTTCGTCATCTCGAGCTTAAAAAGGAACTAAGTAATATGCCTAATTTACAAATTGAAATGGAACTCTTTCATGGAACGAGAATGACAATGCCTAGTGAAATTTATCATGGTGAATACGGTTTCGATATGACATATAGTACAAGTGGTTTGTGGGGTATCGGTACATATTTTGCTAAAAATGCTTCGTACTCGTGTGAAAACTATGCTCATCAATTATCTAATGGCAAACGTCAAGTATTTTTAGCTCAAGTGTTGACAGGAGCCGTATATGATTGTAAGAGTGATCAAAATTTACGTCGACCTCCAAAAAAAAATGAGACAAAATCTGGTCTACGATATAACAGTGTATCTGGTGATACAGGTGGCAGTAAAGTTTACATCGTATACGAAAATCGAGTGGCTTATCCTACTTATTTGATTACATTTATCTCTTAGGTTTTATAAACTTTCACTGAATTTGTTTTTCACACATATTTCAATCTGGAATAACTTCGTTTGACTTTTCAATAAAATAAGAACACGCTATAGAAAAAATGACTTCTTTATTAAATTTTAGATTAGAAACATGATAATAGATGAGGCGTAGGTGTGAGTCACATCCACACCCTTTCAATATGTGTGGTATTAGAAAAGAACATACTTTTTCTTTTCTTTTTTATTTGTAAGGAAAAAAGCGCGAGTCATTCACGATTGTTGTTTTGTCTAAGCAAAAAATTATTCCTCACAGTGTCACTCTTATAAAAATCAGGAAAACCAAAGTTTCATCGACTTTCCAGTAAGAAATTTGGGCGTAACAGTAGGCAAGTCTAACAAAGTTCATCAATGTCTGTTAAAGAGATAAAATAAAAGATCAGAAGTGATAAAAAATGAGGTGTTAATACTTGTAAAGATTTCGTTCATTTTTCATTGAATAAGAAAAGATATTTACAAAAAAATTATTCCTCATAAAAATATACGAACCACTGTTGAAAATTGTTTTGGTATCGAAACGAACGAAACTAATGTTTTATTCAGAAAAACCTTGACATATTTTCAATAATTTTCGGATATTTTTCCGTTTTTACTTTGTAAACATTTTTCAATGAATAAAAATAATTTTTCATGGAGAATTTCTATGCTAAGTTTAATTCTAGATTCTTCAAGTTCTGATTACTAAACACAAATCGATTTTTTTGCATATGAGTTTGTTCCGTCTCCAACAAAATTTAATATACACTTATTATGATAAAATTCAATGAAGACTTATGTGATCATTTAGCCATAAACATNAGGACTCGTGAGGGAGAAACGTGTAGTGATTGCGATAATTGCTCTCTAGTAATGGACGAAGGAAGAGACGTCACTTTAACCCGCCATCGGCCAAATTTTGTGTTGTCTGCCATTGCTTCCCTATAAATTCAAGAAAGCGACAAAATAATGATCATTTTTGTCATACGGGAGAAGAATCAAATGTGCATAGTTATGTAAACAAAACAAAAATTCATTAATTTTTCGTGCAGCAACCGTAAGAACAAACCTGTTTGAAAAAAAAAGCAGAAAGAAAATGAAACTAAAACTCGACGATGTAATAAAAAGCTCAGCAGAACAATAGATGATGATTTATATGAAGCTAGAGTAGTTTCTTGAAAAATCAGTTACTTATTGCTGCAATCTTATACTAATGTTGTTTGATGAAATATAAGTGAATAAACTTACTACAAGATAAACTAGTTCATCATTCATTTATTTTAAACAAAATTATATAGAAGCTTTCAAACTCTTGCAAAAGAGCATCTTCAACATAAAAGTGAAATCAAAGAAATGCAAGGGTAAAAACATAAGAATTGTTTTTCTTTTCTTTTGTTGTGTTCTGTTCTGAACATTGCACTGTAAAGGAGAGACATAATTTCATCCCAGTATAATGCTCAGAACAGAACGAAAAGAAAAAGCGAAAAAAACAAGTTATATATTAACTGTAAATTTCTTTGATTGCACTTTTATGCTGAAAACAGTATTTTGAAAGAAGTTAAAAGGTTGTGTATACTTTTCTTTAAAATATATAAATGATTGATGTAACTAGTTTGTCTTGCAGTAAGTGCAGTCTGAGAGAACTCGGTAATAAATTTTCTTCTTTCATGCCTGGTTTTTTCTTTGTATTGCGATTCGAGAGGATGGCAAATTCCCTCTATCTCTAGAGTATCTTATCGATCTACACGATTGTACATAACTTTTTGCTCGTGAAACACAGCTATTAAGGAGCATCAGAAATACAAGTGGTATATATATACTTGAAAAACTCATTTTTTCCAATATACAGATTAATCATTGGAAAGTAAAATGGTGTAAGTCATTGGCGGTGGCGAAGAACAAGAGCTGAAAGAATATGTTCGAGCCAACGCCTACCAAAAATCAATGGAACCAAATGGAACGTTTTATCAATCAAGAGTGATTTACTCAACAACTGCATCCTAGTGAAATAGGTGTTACCGACAACTGGAAAAATAATACGAATGTTGTTTTCAGCGATTCATTTTCTAGTAATAGACGTCGAACCTTGCTCCATGCCTTCTCGATAAGCGTCAGCTCGAACATGCTCTTTTATTAGTTGTTCTTTGTCATCGCCAATCACTTAAACCAATTTATTTATCGTTGATCAATCTGAATTCATGAAGATATAACCTTTCCAAATGTATGTCAAACTTGTATTAGTCATGCTTCTTAAAAGCTGTATTTTACTACGCAAAAGTTATGTAAAATCCTGTAAATCCATAGAATACTTTAAAAGTACAGGAACTTCCTCGAGCCCACAAATACAGTACACAAAAAAAAAGTACGAAATAAGAAAATTTATTCCCGGCTCCTATAAGAAAGTAGTAATATGTAAATAATTTTACAAGAAATTGCGCTTCTTTCATGTGAATCATATTTGCAACGTTCCACTGGTTTTTTTTGTTACTTCGTCGAAGTTTATTTTCGTTTTCTTTCTGATTTCTTTATTCAAATTTATTTTTGCTCTTGTTGCTTGACAAGTCAGTCGCTTGTTTTGTTTACATAACTATGCACATTTGATTCTTCTCCCGTATGACAAAAATGATCATTATTTTGTCGCTTTCTTGAATTTATAGGGAAGCAATGGCAGACAACACAAAATTTGGCCGATGGCGGGTTAAAGTGACGTCTCTTCCTTCGTCCATTACTAGAGAGCAATTATCGCAATCACTACACGTTTCTCCCTCACGAGTCCTTATTCCAAAAAGTCAAGGCAAAGCAACGCATTATGCCTGGATCGACGATTTTGACGACGAGCGAGATGCAAATGAATTTGCACTGCAAAATTCACAATTAGTCATTTCCAATTTACAGATAAAATGTTCTGCAGTTGAGCCTAAAAACGATAATATAAATATTCAACATCAATCACGAAGATCTTCCGTGGATACTCGACCACAGAAAAAGACTACTTTAGCGAATACTACCCAGCGCCAGGCCTCACGACAGCGGCCAAGTAAGTTTTGCTCATAGCGAAAAAGAGAACGCACGAATTCAAATCTGGTACTATTTTGGACGTCCGTAGAAAACATAAAGATCTTTCCTTTTAAATATATTTTGAAAAATTCCCAATAGGGATATATTCTTAAAACTAAACAAATTTTCAAAAGTCAATATTCTGTCAATTGAATCCAGTAGTTTCGTATTCATTACTACACAGGTAAATCCTAGGGATTTCTGCCACTTTGTGGAAGAAGGGCACTTCGTACCAATGTTCTGAAAGGAGAAAACAATCTGAGATAGTAATTAAAATCTTTTTGGAGATTTAAAGTGTAGAGAACAACATCATTTTTTAGGAATACTCTGTACATATAAAAGGTATACCATAACAGCTGATGATAAATTTTTAATCATCTTTTTCATACTTTTTCTTGGTACAGAGAGCTGAAATCTTTACCACATATATATCTAATCATATTCTTTTAGTTCTGGAAGTTTCAGCTCTCTAGTTACAGCTAATAGTGAAATACATAAATTTTTCTACTGATTTTTTGCAATAGTTTTGCAGTAAACATATGCAAAAATCGGATAAGACAATTTATTTATTTCAACTTTGTCTATATAGTTCGCTAGTAATTTTGTTTAGAGCGCTCTATCTTTCAGAAATAAAAGATCTCGAGTAGATATATATATATATATGATAAAAATTTCAGCTCTCTATATCAAGACTGTGTATGAAAAAGATGTTTAATAATTTATTATAGAATACTCTTTGTGTATGTGGAAAGTTCCTGAAAAATCATTTGGTTCTTCACACTTTATGTCTCCTGAAAAGTTTTCATTTTTATCTTGGACTGTTTTGGATGACGTTACGTCTAAACAAAGTATTAAGATCGAAAAAAAAGTTCCAGAAAAGTGATAGAAATTCGACAAGTTCGCCCATATATGAATAAAACTTTGGTTTGTGAATAATAATGCTTTTCGAAGGATGCTGATGTATGAGTCTTTTCGTCCAACACTTACACTGACACCCTTTAACTAAGTTTCTTAAAAAAAATAAAAATAAAATGTGGTATCTTACTTAAAATTTTAAGATATAATAACAACTGATACGATGATAATGTGAGCTTATGTGAAAGTCATATTGTAACTATCATATACTCACTATAGCTCAGTAGTATTTCCTGTTCTCAATTAACCATTGTAACAATGAAGAAATCTAAATGTTGTGCCACATTGTAGTGTCATCTGCTCGAGTTTCAATGCAAACTCTCAATACTGAGTGCAAGGATGAACTTTATCCGGATGCGAACAAAGGCCTATGTAACAATCAAGCATGCGGGTACTTGGATCCCCCTGAGCATGCCAAACCAAAAGAACTAATTGAGTTAAGTGTTGCTCAGCAAAATTTTCTCGAATTTTTTGGCACCAAAATCTTGAATACAATTCGTAAAGAACAAGGTATTGATGATGTAAAATTTAAAGATGGTAAACTTCAACTGTCAGGAAATAGTTTCACCATTACAAACATAAAATCTTTTCTAAAACAAACACTTCATGAACAGAATGTGACAATCACAAATAACTTAAAGAAATATTTACAGCTCTCCGTCAAAGGACGTTTAATGAAGAAATTTTTAGAAAAATATTCCGTAGGAATTTCTTATTTTGAAACGTCAACAAATGCTTCTTTGACAGCCAACGATATGATTACGAATAAAAACCTTGTTTATGTCCATGGCGAAGATCAACGAGAACAACAATACGTTAGTGATCGCAATGTGAATCAGTCTGAAGACGAACAAGAAGAAGATGAAGATGATACCAAGAGTGATATTTCGAATACGTCATCAAATGTCACGACTGATTCTGGTAATTTTAAACGTTGTCGTAATTTTGCTCAAAAATTTGTACAAGTAACACTATGTAATGACTCGGAAGATTTATTGTCTAAAGCCATAAAAGAA